TATTTGATTTCGGAAAATCGACTATACATAATATATCATATTTTACGCATAATTGTAAAATTTCCAGGGATTTTGTGCCTAAACGGTCGACTTTAGCGAAAATTTTCATAAAAACTTTTTTATAGGAAATTTTATTCTCTTTAATTTTGCTCTCCTCAAATTTTCGCGAAAAATGCATAGTTTTTGAGATATTCACAAAATGTCGATTTTGAGCGCCGGCGGCAAGTCTGGAAATGGATTTTAGTTAGGGAACCCAAAACCTATAAACCTGCAAAGTTTCAAAACTTCCGGACTTTTTTCCAAGCAGGCCCCTTTTTTCATCCCCAATGACTGAACTATTAAGCCTTTTTTTAGTTTAAATCATTTTAATGACTTAAGCCATTTTTCGAAAGCTGCCTTAAAACTTAAAATTTGAGTAATTTTCAAAATGATTTGTGATTTAATACTTTATTTCAAAATAGAAAAAGAATTGAGTTATTAAAAATATTTAAATCATTTTATAAAAGACTTAAATCTGCTTTTTATATATTTTTATGATACATTTTTAATAGCAGCAATTCTTTTTAAACTATTAGGCAGCAGCCAGGCAGAAGATAAAAAAGAACACTCCGTACCACTAGCAAATAAAAAGCTAGTTATTTGGAACCGGTTTTGATTATCTCTAATGTTACATGTACTAAGTCTGTTGTCTTTCAAGCGAACCAAGTGAATCCCCGACACCGTTATATAGCCCCAAAGACTAATAAAAAAAATAAAAATATTGAAGAGTACCTTAAAATCCTCTGGCCTTAGCTTATATCATCGACATTAGAGTGTGTCAAAAAAATCGACTAATTTTTTTCACTACTTATATACTCTGAAAAATTAATCTTAAATTGTTAAAAAAAAGTTTTTTTTTTATTCGAAATTTAATGAATCATTGACTCTAAGTTAGGAAAAATGCAATAATATAATGTACCCAAACACGCTTAGGACTAAAAAAAGACTAGAAAATTGTACAAGAAAATTGTACAAATTTTCCCGAAATTCATAAAATAAATTGGAATTGTTCAAATTTATTAGTCAAAAACTGTTAAAATTGTTGTTCATTGAGGTTTGACGATGAATATCTTTTAACCTTTCCGGGACCGTACGGGGTATTTTAGGTACCCCAGATGAGTTTTTTCTTTAATAACTTTTACAATTTTTATTTCTCAATTTTTTCCTATCAGGTAATCCTAGAATATATATTACAAAACCCTTTTTAACAAAAATAGCCAAATAATTTTTTTATTTTCCGCGAAAAACTAAAATTTACTGCCTGGGGTACCTCCGTTACCTCGCACAGCCTGCAGTGATTCGTTCTACACGCACTATTCATGTTTTTTCGTGTTGGTGACTTTATATGAAGACGTAAACAAGTTCTATATTCAGTTTAGTGTTGGTATTTACTGTGATATAGTAAGTTAGTGTGTGTATTTATTGAAAAATGGCGCAAAAGGAATATACTGATGATGGGCTAACAATAAAGAAATTCCTGCCGAATTCGCTTCGAGATCTGCGAAGAGAAATCCTTCACTACAAGGACTTGTACTTCTAAACATTCTAAGAATTAAATAACATAGTAACAAGTTTCACAAAACTGTAAAAACAGCAATAAAATAATTTCTTGCCCAAAGCACAGTTCCTATAAATCCTGCTAAAGAGATTCAACCTAATTCAAACCGAAGATGTGGCTTTCGCACCAGATCACGTAAGAGAAAAACAAAAATATTATGTAATACATGCAAAAACTCCATTTTTAATATTCTCGGAAAGAATCTAAAACGTTTTTATGCTCTGACTGCCAAAATAATATGTAGAAAATTAATAAGAGTTTAAAAAAAATAAAAACACTAAATCACCACAATACACCAAAACACTTTTACTTTTACACTGGACGCGCGTTTCGCTAACCATGTTAGCATCATCAGCAGATGATTATAAACTTTTGAGTTTATAATCATCTGCTGATGATGCTAACATGGTTAGCAAAACGCGCGTCCAGTGTAAAAGTAAAAGTGTTTTGGTGTATTGTGGTGATTTAGTGTTTTTATTTTGCGGCTTAACACCAAAGGTTCCAACCCTCAACTGTAATAAGAGTTTAGTTTTAAAATTAAATGTTTTTTATATTAAACAAATACAAAATATTTAAATTATTGACGTTTTATTATTAAAATTTACAAATAATTACTAATAATTTACCTAGGTGACAAAATATTAATAGTTTTTGAAATATTTCAGTGGGGTACCGTAGTTACCCCACACGGCCTGAAATGTAATTTTTTGTAGCACGGTCCCGGAAAGGTTAAACGGTTAATTTAATCGACTAATCATCCTAACTGCCTAAAAATAATCAAACCTCAATCTTTAATAATTTTCGAACGGTGAGGTTTATAAAAAAATTGTAAGAGACCTATTTTTGTAGAGAATTCAATTTCCTACAAATATATGAGACGAGATATTTTATGTCATTTGTTGAAATTACTGTGTCTATAAGAATAGAAAATTACCACCAGTAGTACTCTTTACCCTAATGGAAAGTATTATTTCAGGGCTATTACCGAATTTTCCACTATCACCATTTGTTTTGGCATTAAAATGTATATAAGTACTTCAAAGTATGTAATTATTTCAAAAAAAGGTTTACCAATGTTCTAAAAAATAAACAACATATAAATAAATAAATAAATGCCTTTGTTGCCAGAAAAAATTACAATTTGTAGACAAAGGTAAAGTAAACAAACAAAAGAGAATACAAAAGAAGCATACAAATTACATTGTCAGTCTTATTGTTTAAAATAAACATTTATAAATGTTTACAATGTCAAAGAATAAAAAAATAAAAGTAAGATTCAAAAATATTTGGTAAGTTTATAGTAAATAATATAGTAATATAGATTTTACGACGTCAATGGTGGTGTTGTTAAGTACGAAAGGCTGCAGCGAGTTTTTATACGACAAAGCTTTAGTTTTAGAAATGTTGAAACTCAGAAGGTTCGAATCGCATTAAGATTTAATGGTGATTAAGTCATTTGATATAATCCTATGAAATGCCGTGACGTCCTTGTTGCTCCAAGTGAAGCTAGTGTCGTCCGCAAAAAGACATATTTTACCACTGATTTTTATGTTAGCAATGTCCTTAGTAAAAAGAAGAAACAAAACAGGACCTAGTACTGAACCTTGAGGTACTCCACATTTTATTGGCTTGCTAGAAGATAACGTGGTATCCATCCTCACAAGTTGACATCTGTTGCTCAGATACGACTTAAACCATTCAAGAGATGTTCCCCTGAATCCATAGTGTTGCAGTTTATTAATTAGGATCTTATGACTTACACAGTCGAACGCCTTAGAAAAATCACAGAAAATTGTTGCTGTAAAATGATGGTTATTTAGGCTGGAGTAAACTTTATTAAGGAGGGAAAACATAGCGTCATTTGTGGACTTGTTGCTTAGAAATCCAAATTGATGTTCAGTAAGTATTTTGTACTTATAAACAGAAAAGATACCAGTCTTCTTTTAACCCAACCTTTCTATGATCTTAGATAGTGTTGGAAGGAGTGCAATTGGGCGATAGTTAGAAGCTTGATCTTGTCACCTCCTTTATGCAGAGGAATGATTATTGCCATCTTAGGACATTTTGGAAAAATACCATTTTGGAATGGCATGTTTATTAAAGTAGTTAGGTGATTCAGAGTGCTTTCTGGCAGATTCGAAAACATTTTTAAAGTTAGCCCGTCGGTCCCAGATGAAGATTTATTTTTGATGGTATTAATTGTACTGCGAGGCTCTTCTAAAACTACGGGCGAAAAAAAGAAACTGTGTAAGTTTACATTATCATTAGAGAGATATGAAAGTGAATCATGAGAAGGACATATGGTATTAGTTAAATTTTTGGCTACATTTACAAAGTAATCGTTAAGGTTCTCAGGTGAGGTAGAGATATCGCTAGACGAAGAAAAGCTTTGTTTCCATTCACAACAGACCATATATCTTTAGCAACATTACCAGGATTGGCGATTCTCCTATTATAATAAAGGTCCTTAGCGGCTCTTATAGTCTTATGATAAATTTCTGTACAGTTTTACGTAATTGTGGAAGAAGACACTGTCTGAGAATTTTTTTAAGTGATATAATGAACGCATGCTTTAAGAAGATATGCGTAGACCTTTAGTGGTCCAAGGTTTATTTTGCTTATTTTTGATAGGCTTAAGAGGAAAGGATTTGAACGCTAGACTGGTTAATGTTTTAACGAAAATAGAAAATTCGGTGTCGACATCATAAGAGCGAGTATCCCAGTTGTTTTTTTTTTATAAAAGTGGCTGAATTTTTGAGCATTCTCTTCTGAAAAAATACGACATAATTTCAAGGGGCATTTTTGATTTTGGAATTTATCGAAAATTTAGTTAAAACTGCTTGATGATCAGAGAGACCCGAGCTAAAGACGTTGCAGGCGATGGAGTTAGGATCAAAAGATGACACAACATAGTCTATAGTACTATAACTGGTTTTGGATATTCTGATAGGTGAGCCTAGATGCATGGCTATTCAAAAAGAATAAAAAAAGGACTGAAGAAACTCCTGAGCAACGCATAAGTATGTATATTATTTTTATTTGCGCTTTCGAGAGCTATAACTTCTTTGGGAAACATTTTAGGATGTTCATAGGAACCTTTTCAGTTATTTTTATTTGTAGAATAAACCACATCGAAGTTAGATACACTATTTTTTGAAACCCTGTGTAATGAAGAACTTTCAGGGATTCTTTCTACTTCTCTTTTTTGTTGTTTTTCTCTGCTTGGTTTTACAGAAATTATTATCACCCTGTCACTAAAATTTCCAAAACATGTTTTTCTATTTTTCCTCTCATATTTACATGCTTAACTACTCTACACCGCGATACATCACCGCCCACACAAGCAATCTTCTATTTGCGGATTATATTCTAAATCGTTAGCGTTTACATGCCGTTTACTTACTTGATATCTATCGAGAGCGATCGCTGTGATGGATAGAGTGGAAACGTAGGTACTCGTAGCCTGCAAGATGCCGATCAGTTTACACACAAACAGGTAGTTGCCTAATGGAAAATATTTCGTTAAGATTTCCATTAAGGTGAGCGGCATTGTGACGGTGCACAGCAATAAATCTGCCACCGCCAGGTTGAATATAAACATGTTGCGAGGCGTGCGCATTGAGGCTTTTCTCACCACGGAGATTATCTGAAACAGAAAATAATTTTATTCAGATACAAGTATTAAGCTTACGAATTAAAATCGAATAAAACACAATATATTTTCGCGAGTAATAGTACGAAATATTTTGGCGTAGGTGTGATACGCATCGGGTAATTTTTTCAAAAAAAGAATAGTACGCCACTGATAAAGATAAAATATCGAAGTTTTTTTTATTTACTCGGTTTATTTCCAAAAAGAAATGTCTTGCAACTTTCTCCTATCTAACACCATTTTGTCACAATTTAAAAATAAATATTTTTTTTAATGAGAACCTTAAATATGCGAATTATTATAACTACCTTAAAACTAAGAATTTTATTATTAACAATATAAACAATTTCAAGTTTAAATTTATATTTTTTTAAAGATTTATTTAAGGGGCTAATGTAAAAAGTACTAAAGTTACCCAAGCTGTGTAACTTTCTGTATGCACATGTATTTCTGCCCTATAGTTATAATAATTCGCTGTATTTAAGATTCTTATTAAAAAAATATATTTTTAAATTGTGGCAAAATGGTGTTACATAGGAGAAAGTTGCAAGAGACTCTAAAAATTTTATTTTTATCAGTGGCGTACTATTTCTTTTGAAAAAAATATCCGATGCGTATCACATCTACGCCACTGGTTGAAACTAAAACCTCTTCTTTTTATATTTAAAGTGTCTCTGTTAGGTAGACTTCTATAATAAAATTTTATAACGATACCTTCAACTGTTAAAAAACTATTAAAGAATATCTTTAATTTTTCAAGAACTTTAACACCCTGTATCTTACGTAAGAAGCATTCCGACCCATAGTGTGCTATATCAAAATTAATATTTCGACGTCATCTATCATACCCCGAAAGCATGACCGACATACAGGAATCACCCTGTATATTTAAATATTTTTTCTTCTTCTTACAGTGCCATACTCTATATAGAGCGTTGGCTACTTCTCGCATGTACTTGTGATGTGTGTCATCAGTGTTTCACAAGTACACGGGACCTACAGTTTATTACCGAATCCGAACGGCACTATTTGAGAGGCTGTACAAGGCAAATATACTCAAGGTGGTTTGCCATTGTCTTCCTTGAGGTGGCGGCGCGTTGGTCGCTCTCTTTAGATAAATATTTCTATTTAAATAAATAAAGCGACCGTACTGGCTGGGGATCCAACCCAGTACCTTCCGCTCCGCAGATCGACACACTAACGCTGGAGCTACGGCCGGCCACAAATATTTTTTATTAAAGAAGAATTTACCTAAAATGTAAGGGTTTTGGCATAATATTTCACATTTTGTGAAAAAAAAAATAGATTTTAAATTTCAATAACAGCTGTTTACTGTTTAAATTGTAATTAACCCCGTATATAGTTTGATATTTAGTTGAAATAACTTGTTGTACTTTAAATGCAATTAAAACTTGGCCCGAATTGTTATACATTGTGAGAAAAAAATAATATTGAACATTGGCCACTTTTAAAGGCATTTGCCTTTTAAATGCATTTATCGTTTCTTTTAAAAGGAACATCCAGAATATTATCCTGACAATTAGTGGATACTTCATATATCTTTAAAATACTCTTAAGGTTGTCTACCCTATAAAAAAAATTTTAATAGATATTTTCATTTTTATGATTTAGTGACTAGTTGATATTTATTAATTGATACATAATATAGGTGGCTGTGATAAAACTTTTGTTAATTTAACAAAAATTAAAGGATGTAGAGTAAAGTATTCAACGGTAGTAAAAATATACAGGTTTAGGCCATATTTTAATTATTACAGAATTCAAACTAGATATAACCGTATAATTATGTGACACAAATGAGCTAGATGAAATCATATGCTCGAAATTCTTCCTTTCCTGTTTACTACAAAAAATTATTCGCTTTCAAAAGATCTTTTCAACTTAAAAAAACATATGTGGATTTCTACTTATAGCAGCCACAATCGTTTTTCTCATGTTCTCGGCAATAGTTGGTCAAGAGCATAAGAAAAACGATTGTGGCTTAAAAACATTGTCTGTAACATATCCCAATAAAAAAGTCCACACTAGATAAATCAATATCTAATCAATAAAGCATTCTATTAACTACTAACTGTTAAATGCACACTGGGGTTACCAACTAATAGAATCATATCAATTCTCTCTGATGTAGGATAAGTTTCCATTTTTGGAAAATTTCTGAGATTTGTTTTTTGTTTTAACTGACCCAAAATGATAACTAGGTGTTAAAGATAAAGTAATTTGACAGCTATATTGAAGTAACGTCAGAAATATCAGAACCACCAAATAGATTTTATCAAATATAATAAAGATCTACTGACACTAAATAATAAAAATGAAAATATCTAGAAAACTCGTTGTTTCAGGGATAGGCAACCTTAATAGCAATTTGAAGAGACAAGAATTACCCATTGAATATAGAAATAATATACTGGGTGTTAAAAGTAACCAATGTTCAATATTAAGTTTGCTCACCCTTAAAAAAAAATTAAATATGCAGAAACTTAAAAAACTCTCAATATTTTAAAAACTCTTTATCGGTTAGAGCTTGATCATATTTTTAAAACTAGCATTTTATGATAAATCGAGTCAGTGGAAGAAATTTTATATAATATTATAATAATACCCCATACTATGTAAAATATCAGTGTAAATATTAGTGTAAAAGTAAATTTAAATCTATAAGATGTATATCTATAGAGGTATCTAGAAATAATTGTATGATGGCGTGTATATTTTACATAAAAGATTGGAGTAAAAACTTGATATGAAGCTTGAAATTGAATTTTAAATTTAGTTTCCAAAAAAAAATTACTCTATTAATATTACTTGTATTTACAAAGATTGAATGAATTCCACTACTTAAAATGAAAAATAGCCAAACACGCAAAACAGAAAAACCACCTTACCGTAGCGGTTTACTAAAAGTAATATGCCAAATAGTCATGAATTTAAACGAGCTAGTTTACGTATCTATGCATTACTAGCGCAGCTCTCCAGGCTGCTGCACACTGTAGGACATAATTTTGATTAAAGTGTGTATTTCTCACGTACATAAATAAAGCTTGGTAGAATATAATATATTTATAGAACATCAAGGTGATTTAGTCCACGGAAGAATATCTTGCACAAAAATATATTCGGATTTACTCTGGTTGTTCCCAGTGGAGTGCACAATGCAACCAACCAAAGAATCTGACTTTAATATAAACCCAGTCTACTAAAATTTAATATCTCTAAAGATTTCGAGCGTATGTTATTTTTGTAGTTCGTGAAAACACAAAATCCAATCCGACGCTCATAATTGAAATCACGAGCTGCCTATGAAAAGATATTTACTTAGTTACTTTAATAATACTAAAAATCTGTTAAAGTTTAGTTATTAAGATTAGTATAATTTTGGGTTCAAAATCAATCAATAGTCGCAAACAGATGTGATTAAATTATATAGTTAAAGGAGAGATCCTTTTGTGTTAGTGTTTGATTAATTAAAACTTCCAAAACTCATTTCGAAATTTCTGTATATAGAGTTATCAGTTATCGGGATTTAACTTACGAGAAAATTTGTTTAACACGGTGTAATAAAGAATAATATTATTTATAATTATTACCTTATTCGAGATTGGCATGTGAAGGACTGTTCTATTTATGTAATGCTATTATTTGTTTTATCTCTATATTTATTAGCCGAGCATACCAATAGGGTATGGTAGGGTATTAAGATCGGCAAAAAAGTTTTTTTTTAATTTCACTCAAAATGAATTATGGGTCATAAATGACATAAATACAAAATATTTTCTTGGCGTCTGTCTGTCTGACTGTCCGGTTGTTCGTCTGTAACACGATAACTCAAAAACCGCTAAACCGATTTTAACCAAATTTGTCACAAAAATACTGTGGCACCCGATTGGTGGGGGTGGGGGGTTGGTAAGGGTATTTACACATACTTATTGCAAAAGGGGATTTACAAAATTTGTAATAAAATCAAAATCAGTCAAAGTCGCAGTTTTTGAGATAAAAAAAATAAAAAAATCCTTTACTTTGAAACTAAAAGAAGTGCCTACCAACTTTTTATTAACATATTTTAGTATAGGCACCTATACGTGCCTCTCGGCGCCAATTTTTTTTTATTTTTTTTGCAGATTAGCTTAAAAGGGAATTAAAAGAGTACCCATATTCGGTCCTATGTAAGTAGATAACATTTTAGGAAACCAACTTTTCGAAAAAACAAATGAAAAACACCTATTAATCTTTAAAAAAATAATAGCTTTTCATATTTACTTATTTACACCCTGTAGTGCATGTTATATTTAACGGTGAGCACTAAGGCTTCCTTTTCGAAACTATTTTTAGCTTGGTATCGAATCAGGAAGAATAGAAACATATTTACATACACTCATCCCACGTGTCTTATTTCCTTTGTTGATAAATATACCGCATTTACATACAAAAGTTGATAAGTTGAAGATATATGTAAATGTATTTTTATTTTTGCTTTGTTCGTGTTTGGCCCGACTATCATTTGTTATTTAGATTTCCAATGAGATATCCTGCTCAATATTGCCGCATCAATTGCGTCTTATCACGTTATCGAGACGATACCTCCATCAAAGTTGGGCTATAAAAAGATATCGGAAAAGAGTGGCATTGATTCTTATGGGGTTTTTGCACCGCGAATTGTGGGGCTTCACTATTGGCTTAGTCTAAGGAAATCTACTGGATACGATTGGAAAGAAAAGAATTGCAAAGTCGGAATTTATTATAGGTAACGTTTTGCGAGTTTATTCTAAATGAAGGGCCCATGGTAAAAACTTGATAACCGCCAATTTCTTAATTTTAGAATTTTACAATATTATAGTAGGTATAACTGGTCCTTATAAAATTTATAAACTCTGCAAGACAATAAGTTGTTCAATCCTATAATACGTGCCTAGTAAAAATAATACAGAATACACGGAAGGAACCTGATTACCAGCCGTCCGGTGCTCTCCTGT